CATCCTCCCACTTCAAGACTGAGTGTGTGACTTTTTCCTTTCCCAATATCAAAGTATTTTGGAGAGAAAATGAAAAATTAGTTCATACCCTTGCATACTGCATGATAAGTCGCTTCAGTCATGTCATACCTTTGAACTCACACTGAATTCATCACTCCTGTGCTAGGTAAGGGTGGTATTTATAGATTTCACTCAGTAGTGTGTGTGTGCACGTGTTTGTGTGTGAATGAATGGTCTGGTACAAAATCTGAAAGATGATTATACTGTGCTTGGCACCTTTATAATTTTGTTGTGTCATCTCAATAACTTAGTTAGACATAATAACCATAATTTCTTGGAATTTATATCTTCCCCTTTAACAAATTGTTCTCTTTTTCACAGTTTTGATGGATATCTGGCATGCATGCAAGCTAAGAACAAAACCTTCCAGGTTTAATAATAATAATATAATCTGTGTTGTTTTTGCAAATAGTAGTAAACATGTGTGTGCTCAGTTAGTCAGTCATGTCTGACTTTTTGTGACCCCATGGACTGTACCCCGCCAGACTCCTCTGTACATGGAATTTTCCAGGCGAGAATACTGGAGTGGGTTATCATTTCCTACTCCAAGGGATCTTCCCAACCCAGGGATCAAACCCAAGTGTCCTGTGTCTCCTGCACTGGCAGATGAATTCTTTACCACTGTGCCACCTGGGAAGCTTTCTATTATGTTCCTTCAAAAATCATACTACAAGCTTAATGAATTCATTTTATCAACCACATGATATTACTTCCAATAGATGTTTACCATAATTGTCTTAACCTTTCATTCATTGATAGAAATTAGGTAGTCTATGAAAAATACTGATCAGAGTTTGATCTGCTTTTGTACTGGAGCTCTGAGAAATTCATTTTGTAGGCAGCTGTCTTTGTAAATTCAGTAGCTGGTCTCCTAGTCTCTCTATCCACTTCTGATTATTTATTTAAGGACTGATGCAGTACATCCACCCAAAAGGTTTGGGGGAAATTACAGATCTCACCTTTTCCTCTTTACTGAGGAATATGTATCCAGATGTCTCTTTTTTGTCAGTTGACTCTGCTGGAGTCAGTGTAGCATGGTGACTGGGAACACGTGCTTGAAATCAGATAAATATGGAATCGAATGATCTGTCCATCATTTTCTTGCTTAATGATTTATGGCCAATTATTTACACTTGTAAGTGCAACTTTCCAACTGTTTAAGTGAGAATGATGCCTTTTTGTGGTCCTTTTAGATATGATATGATATATAGTACATCACAGCAGCTGGCCCATGTTATTTGAACAATAAATATGTGGTTAAAAGATGATTGATAGTATAATTTTATTATCATTATTATTGACATGACCATCTAGGCACTTATCTTGAAACCACAAACCTTCCACTCATCCTCAAACTTCCTGATTTAATTCTGGGTATTTTTGAACGTTCTTAGGCAGCAAGTACTGTCTTATCTGAGGATATAGGTAATGAGGGCATGTAATATAGTAATGTAATAGCATGTAATATAGGGAAGAATATGATCTTTGAAGCCAGGTAGACATGGGATCAAATCCCAGGGTCACGATATACTAGTGCTATAAGACTGGGCAAGTTTTATCACTGAGTCTCAATGCTCACCTCTCTAATGAGGATCTGAATACCTATGTTGAAACGTTTAGGGAAGAAGTAAAGAGTATTTGAAAATCACCTGGTGCAAATCAGGTGCCAAATCAACGTGACTATTTCTAGCCCTATCGTAGTCGTCTGGCCAAACTGGAAAGACAGGAAACTGGCCTCTGTCTCCAGCCTCTGCTCGTATTCTTCCTATATTTCCCCACTTTGTCTGAAGAGGTCAGTGCCCTTGTTCAGCCACCCTATCTGGCCCCCAAATGTGAACAGTTCCCGGTCATTCTATCTCAGTGAATCCCTATGGCTCTCTCCCCCAGGATTACTTATTTCTAAACCTCATCTATAATTGGAAACTTAAAGTTTTTTTTTTTTTTTTAATCTAACTGAAAGAATTTTGGGTACCAGCAGCCTGTGGAGGGTGGAATTCTGGGTAGAGATACAGAAAGTTCAATGTTGATCTGCAAATCACACTGCACAGTCATAACTCTGGATGTCCCCCAAGAAAAACTGTCTCCCAAAATCTGAATCTCGAGAATATTACAGAGAGTATTGCATTGCTCATTTCTCACACTCCATGAAAATTTTGGGGTCGGGGTTGGGTCTGAGGTGCTAGAAATCTGGCCAGAAAAGCTTCTGCCTCTAGGACTAAGTAGCAAACTATCTTTCATCTGTTTCTGGGAGACTTAAAGGTAAACAATTCATAGATATGCTAATCTGATATCTGATTCCCACATTATTGGTTCCTTTGCTGTAATCTCTGAAATCACATCATTTGACATGGATTTTCAGCTACTGGATTAAGTTGGTTTGTTATTACACTGTTCCTTTCACTCAGCTGGGGGTGGGGAAGTGGTGGTACATGGTTTCCTTTGGAATCCAGTTGACAGAGTGATGGCGAGGCCAAGTCTTCATTATAAATGTGTCTTTGTTTCTAGACTCTCTGTTCCTCTCCACTGCCTTATTGCTCTGTGCTTCTGAAAGTATATCATTTGTTGTAACTGGTATAGCTTTATAATAAAGTTTGATAGGTTGTAATGAATTCTTACCTTCTCTTTTAAAAATATTTATAGAAATTTGGATAAGGAGATAAATATCTCATAGGCTATTTTAGAGACACTGAAAAAGATTAGAATTCCTTTTAAAAATTACATTTGGCTTTTAGATTGTTCTTACTTGATTGTCACAATGTATAGGAAATAAATGACATGGGGCCCCTGAACGACTGGGATTAATCCTGGGTCTTGAATAAGACCTGATGTAAGTTTCTGGTTTTTTCCTTGTCCAACCTTTTAATAACCTGCTTGTTGTTCCCAAACCACTGTTTATTCTTCCCCCCTCACAGCTCACTCCTCACCCAATGCCCCAACAGTGGCAGCCCTATTGCTGATCTATTTCCTCCTTCACACTAGGATTTCGAAATGTATTTATTATTTTTTAATTGGAGGATAGTTGCTTTACAATGTTGTGTTAGTTTCTGCTCTACAACAACGTGCATCACCTGTAAGCATACAGATATCCCCTCTCTCCTGAGTCTCCTCCCACGCCCATTCCGTCTCTACAACAGCATGAATCACCTGTAAGCATACAGATATTCCCTCTATCCTGAGGCTCCTCCCACGCCCATTCCGTCTCTACAACAGCATGAATCACTTAGAAGTATACGGATATCCCCTCTCTCCTGAGTCTCCTCCCACACCCATTCTGTCTCTTTATCATGGAGCGCCACGCTGAGCTCCCCGTGCTGCGCAGCAGCTTCCCGCTAGCTGTCTATTTTGCACGTGCTAATGTGTACATGTCAGTGCTACTCTCTGTTTCATCCCACCCTCTCCTCCTGCTGTGTTTGCAAGTCCATTCTCTATATCTGCATCTCACACTGGTCAGAATGGCCCTCATCAAAGAATCTACAAACGGTCAGTGCTGGAGAGGATGTGGGGAAAAGGGAACACTCCTGCACTGTTGGTGGGAATGTAAATTGATCCAGCCACTATGGAAGACAGTATGGAGGTTCCTTAAGAAACTAGAAATAGAACTACCATATAACCCAGCAATCCCACTAGTGGCATATACCCTGAGAAAACCATAATTCAAAAAGACACATGCACTCCAATGATCCTTGATGTAAGTTTCTTAAAAGGGCCGCCATAATGTGTTTAACTGGATGTGACATCTTGTATTTGATCAACAAACTTACAATGTGTATGCATTAATTGTCTTTGATAAATTCTGGGTCTACAACCAATGAACAAATTAGAAGTAATCATGGAGGGTGTACAGAAGAGGATGCAGAATTAAACATATTGTTACACACAAAATTATGAAAGGCAAAGAGATTTCTTTTTGTTTGTTTGTTTACTCACCTATTTATTTATTTTTTATTTATTTTTATTAGTTGGAGGCTAATTACTTTACAATATTGTAGTGGTTTTTGCCATACATTGACAGGAATCAGCCATGGATTTACATGTGTTCCCCATCCCGATCCCCCCTTCCGCCTCCCTCCTCATCCCATCCCTCTGGGTCTTCCCAGTGCACCAGCCCTGAGCACTTGTCTCATGCATCCAACCTGGGCTGGTGGTCTGTTTCACCCTTGATAGTATACTTGTTTCAATGCTGTTCTCTCAGAACATCCCACCCTCGCCTTCTCCCACTGAGTCCCAAAGTCTGTTCTGTACATCTGTGTCTCTTTTTCTGTTTTGCATATTGGGTTATCGTTACCATCTTTTTAAATTCCATATATATGCGTTAGTATGCTGTATTGGTCTTTATCTTTCTGGCTTACTTCACTCTGTATAATGAGCTCCAGTTTCATCCATATACACAATGGAATATTACTCAGCCATTAAAAAGAATTCATTTGAATCAGTTCTAATGAGATGGATGAAACTGGAGCAAAGAGATTTCTGATGTCAAATAATTTGTTTTGCTTCCAGAGAACAAATTCTGGAGTCAACATGCTTGGGTCCAAATCCCAGCTTCCCTTCTTACCTCAGGGTCTGTTGAGACTGTCTGCTTCAAGTACCCCATCTGGAAAGTGGAAATAATAGTATTAATAGTATCTACCTGGCTCCCATTCTGAAGAATATTACATTAGTTACTACACAGAAGCCATAAGAACAGTGAATAAGGATAGTATTTAACAAAAATTAACTGTTAGTATTGTCATTCACAGAATCTGGCACCAGATTGAGAAAGAAACATACACTTTTGCTACATTTATCCAGAAAACATGGTACAAATGTAAGAAAAGATCGGTGAAGACCTTCCCTAAATCAAAAGAACATCTTCATCATGCTCTGCCACGATGATCACATTATTATCCCAAGACATTCACCTTTTCCCTTCAACTTTCCCTACTAATGCCCTTCAGCTGATGACCATGGAGAACCAGAGCAGTGTGTCCGAGTTCCTTCTCCTGGGGCTCCCCATCTGGCCAGAGCAGCAGGGTGTGTTCTTCACCTTGTTCCTGGGTGTGTACCTGATCACGGTGGTGGGGAACCTACTCATCGTTCTGCTCATCAGACTGGACTCTCGCCTCCACACCCCCATGTACTTCTTCCTCAGCCACTTGGCCCTCACTGATACTACTTTCTCATCTGTCACTGTCCCTAAAATGCTTATGATCATGCAGACTAAGCACAAATCCATCCCCTATGCAGGGTGCCTTTCACAGACGTATTTTTTCATACTCCTTGCTGATCTGGACAGCTTCCTGATCACTTCGATGGCCTATGACAGGTATGTGGCCATCTGCCACCCTCTGCATTATACCACCACCATGAGCCAGACTGTCTGTGTCGCACTGGTGCTTGGATCCTGGCTCATTGCTTGTGCTTTTGCTCTTTGGCACACCCTTCTCCTAGCCCGGCTGTCGTTCTGTGCGGACAACACTATCCCCTACTTCTTCTGTGATCTTGCTGCCCTGCTCAAATTGTCCTGCTCAGACACTTCCCTCAACCAGTTGGTAATCTTCACTGCAGGGTTAACAGCCATTATGCTTCCATTTGTATGCATCCTGGTTTCTTATGGCCATATTGGGGCCACCATCCTCCGGGTACCCTCTGCCAAGGGCATCGGCAAAGCCTTGTCCACATGTGGCTCTCATCTCTCAGTAGTGACTCTCTACTATGGGGCAATTATTGGTGTATATTTTCTTCCATCATCCAACAGCACCAATGACAGTAACATAATTGCTTCAGTGATGTACACGGTGGTCACTCCCATGTTGAACCCCTTTATTTATAGCCTGAGAAATAAAGACATGAAACGGGCCTTGAGAAAACTCTTGAGCAAGAGAACATATTCTTCCAACTGATATTTACCTTTCCTTTAAAAACAGTCCCTGTGATTCTATTTCCTCAATTACATGTAAATACAAATTATTGAAAATATGGCTCCCTTGTCTTCCTTTCTTAGCTGTCACTCAGAAATCTTTTATTGACAGTATTCTTATACTTGTTGGGGAAAAAATAAGGGGGGATATGCTTTATAAAACTTAATTTGCTCTTTTCTTGGATAGTGGGGATTGGAAAATACTTTGAGGATGCTATGCCACTTTGGCTGCTGCCATTAAATGGAAGCTGTCAGGGCTGGCCCTTCCCCGGTTTTTAAAGTTTTATAAAATGTGCCTGAACATTCATATCCCCGTTTCTAAAGAATTTTCCATTTTGGTGAGAATATGGTTCCTCTTGCTCCCAGACACCTAGGCATCCAGAGACCCCGAGTCCTGCTAGAACTTGCAAGGAAAGAAAAATAATTTTTTTTTATTTTTTGGCCACACTGCAAAGCATGTGGGATCTTTTAAGTTTCCCAACCAGAGATCGAACCCACATCCCCTGCAGTGGAACCACCAGGGAAGTTCTCTACAACATACTCAATTTTTCTCTTCCCACATAATAAATGTACTTCTTTTGTTCTTCAGGAATAGAACCCACACTTACTTTCTCCCAAGACCTTTGCAGATAATCAACAACAAAATAAATGTCACCTCTATTGTTTCAGGTGCCAGTCAAATAATTTACTATGTGATAAAATCTACTTTAATCCTGACAGCAACCCTCAGAGACATGTTGAGAAACTCAGGCTCAAAGAGGTGGCGAACACTTTAGGATCACAGTTAGTGAAAAGAAGGATTGAATCTTGGCTGTCTGACTCCAGAGTGGAGTCAGTGTTGTTATTGTTTAGTTGCTCAGTCATGTCTGACTCTTTGCAACCCCATGAACTGTAACCCGCCAGGCTTCTCTGTCCATGGAATTCTCCAGGCAAGAATACTGGAGTGGGTTGCCATTTCCTTCTTCACAGGGATCGAGTCTGCATCTCCTGCATTGGCATTGCCAAGGACTATAGTCATGTATATGGAACACTGTGTCCTGGGGAGGAAGAATAGTTAGCTCAGCCTAGTGGCAGAGGATACATGAAAAGCTTCCTTGAGAAGATGTCCCTTTACTTGAGACTTAACAAATTAGAACTATCCAGACAGACACATTCTAGCTCACTCTGATGATCACTGGTAGTGGGGGCGGTGTGTTTCAGGACAACAAACTGGCTATTTCAACTGAGGAACCAAGATCTGATAGACACCAGGTAACAAAGTGAGTTGTAAGACATAAAGTGAAGATGTTTATAGGAAATGTCCAGTAATCAATGTCATAACTCCTAAGACTCCCAAGCTAGAGGAAGGCTAAAGATATAGATTGTTAGACCTAAAAAGTGCTAAGAGGTGGGCATGAGAGGTTTTTGTAAAGATGTTTCTTTTGAAGAAAACGTTAATGTTACTTACAATTCGGAGGGTTGGTTGAGGCTTGGCTGACTCAGTTCAGAATGGTGATTTTTCTGGACATGGCAGGTCTCACTCATGCTTCTGTGGCCAGTTGCAGGTTGAAAAATGAAAGTGAAAGTCACTCAGTCGTGTCCGACTCTTTGAGACATGTATAGTCCGTGGAATTCTCCAGGCCAGAGTACTGGAGAATACTGGAGCCTTTCCCTTCTCCAGTAGATTTTCCCAACCCAGGGATCGAACCCAGGTCTCCCGCATTACCAGCTGAGACACAAGGTTAGCTGATCTAAAATGGGCTCATTTTGGGTGGTTTTGAATCACACATCCCTCACCTTCTTACTAGGACTTGCAGCCTCCTACCCAACCCCACCTTTCCTTATGCACTACTAGATTGTCTGTTGTGAATTTAGCATCATCATCACCGACTTCTAAGTCTTCCCCTCCTTGTAGCAATGAGGTTGGAAACATTTTCAGATTTTTCCTTTCTGTATTGTTCAAGTTTAATGCTTTCTAATAAGAACTCACGAGAAATTTAGAAGGCAGAAAAGAAGAAGGCGTTACTTTCTGGAGGTAATTACATTACTGGCAGAAACAGGCATAAGTGAAATTCACAGAAATTTCCCAGTGGACTTCTAAGAGCTGCCTGCATGGCTGCAGCAGGTTGAGACATTTTGGGGAGCTTTTCAGTATTTTTTTAGATTTTTCAGCTACTACCCATCAAACTTTTAAAACCATCTATTTTACATTTTAGGTTGAAATCTTTAGTTGTCGCTATTTTAGTCTTCAAGGGTCACTCCTTTGACCTTTATTCTCCAGCTCTTTTAATAGTTGGCTAAGCAAGCCCCTTTGTTCTACTCTTCTGAGCAAATCCTTATGGAATTCTTCGCATCAAAATTACCCATCATTTATCTGAGTCTATTTTTTGGTATAGAGATGAAATTGCCAGATTGGTATTTCAATTTTAGTCAGGGACATCTATTGCAGAGTAGTGAAGAAAGCATGAACCCTTTAAAAATTAAATTTTAGAAGTTCATTATTACTATGAAGAAACATTAAACTAAATCTTTATTTCCTACTGCATTAAAAACAACTCCATGTGTTTTAAGAACTAAAGGCAGGGAATTCCCTGGCTGCCCAGTAGTTAGGGCTCCATACTCTCACTGCCCAGGGCCAGGGTTCGATCTCTGTCAGGGAACACGAACCACATGTCAGGGAACACATGTCAGGGAACATATATTTTATAGCCAAAAAATAGTAAGAACTAGAGGCAAAGTTTTTAATTTTTACATAAATGTGACACTATGTACATGAATCAGGGGAGTCCTTTCTTTGCTTTTTAAAAATTCAGATATATTTCATATAAACCACACTGAAAATCACACAATATACTACCAAATGCTACAACAAAACCCTACTGAGGCGTGGATGTCCAAAGTGCTACAAAAACTGAAGCCTGTTCAATTGTTAGCAAGAAATATACTACTGATATTCTATTATTCTATTCTGACGACAGGTAGCTCAGGTTCTTGTGCTGTATTAACAAGTACAGGGGCATGGGTTTTACTCTAGACTCTCAATTGCTGCTATTTTCCAAAGTCACGAACCTCCCCGGGACTCTGGACAGTGCCTTGTACATAACAGCTGTTAGTTATATGGTGTTTGTGTGTGTTCCGTTGATATTAATTGATGCTTGAGTTTGGAAGACATTGACACTGACAGTGCAGCACCATATCTGTCTTTTTTTAAATTATAGGTCTTACGGTTTAAGAAAAGTTTTAGGTTTACAGCAAAATTGAGTGTAAAGCATGGAGTTCCTATATACCCCAGTCACAGCACACCCACAGCCCCCGACTCCACCAGAGTGATATGTTTGTGACAGTCAGTTAACCCACATACCATAACTGTCTTGTTGTAGACTATTTTGCTAAACAACTCTACCCTGTACAAGGTAGACCCACCTAATGTTGAACCCACCTATAATAAATTGTATTAGAGGATATTACACTGGGGTATTCCTACTATTTATGCACATTCATGATGCTGACAAGAAATCTGAGTCCACCTTTCTTCAGACCCTACATTTTTCTGATGTCACATCCCTTTCTTGTTGTCTGTAAAATACAGTGGTTGCCATTTTCAAGGTGACTTTCTCAAGGAAGCACTTTAAAGTCAATAATGCAAATCATAAAATGATACATTAAAATTAAATTTAATCACATTAAAATTAAAATATGGATAGAAAGTAAGAAGCAAAAGTAGCAAGCTTCCAATAATGGACAGCATTTAAAATATATACAAAATGACAAAGGATTAGTTTCAAGATTATATGAAGTCTATCTGTACTACAGTTTGCCTTTTCCAGCATCTTATATAGTTGGAATCCTACAGTATGTAGTCTTTTCAAACTGACTTCTTGGTACAACTATTTCAGAAGATTTTGCAGTGATAATTGAGTTGAACATAGACATCTACAATCCAATAATTCTTTTTCTGGGTATATAATTTACATAATCTCTTGCTTGTACACAATAAGCAATGCACAAAAATATTTGTTGCTACATTGTTCATAATAACATAATGCTTAAAATAAACAAAAAACCCCAGAGAATAAAACAGATTAGTGTTTCTTTTATAAGAAATTATAAACAAAAGTATACAATGTGATGATTTGAAATACATATATATTGTGAAATAATTACCAAGATTAAGATAAGTAACACACCTATCACCTCCTTTAGTTAATATTTTCATGTGTGTAGTGATGCTTGTGAACTATCTTCAGAAACTTTCAAGTATGCAATGCCATGTTATTAACTAGCCATCACACTACACTTGGTTCTCAGAACTTACTCTTCTTCAAGCTAAAACTTTGAACCATTTGACCTACATTACCCACTTCTCTCTACACCCTGCCCCTGGCAACCACCATTCTATTCTCTGTTCCTATGAAACCAGCATTTAAAAAGTTTCCACATATAAGTGATACCATATAGCATTTGTTGTTGTCTGGTTTATCAAATTTTCACATTGTACACTCTAAATATATACAATTATATTTGTGAAAAAAAGATAGCCACAGAAAAAGAAATGTTTCAAAGAAAGCTTAAAAGGGATTTAAAAAATGTAACAGGAGGTTGCTTTAAAAGTAAAAACATAGTAATATGTTGAGAAGAAATTAAAGATAGAATTAACACTAGATTTCTAACTAAGGTCAGTCAAATGATAAATTTTAAATGTATTATGGAATTAAACTAAAAATAAAATCTCAAACCAACCAGAAATAATATTTTTGTTATCTTGAGAAGGGGAAAATGCTTTGTTACATAAGGTCTGTAAATTATCCACACCCCCTCACCAAAATAGTGAGAGTTGTGACTACAAAATTTTTTTTTTCAATGTTTGTGGAACAATGGATACCACAGAAAAAAGGAGGGGGGAAGGAAATGGTAGTTGTGCAGGTATATTTGTAAAATCTTTCCCTCTCTATAATGAGCAAAAAATTAAACAGAGAAGGAAGTATGTCCAAGCTGAAGCAGAGACTGAAGATAGAAGGCCACATCGAGACTCACTAAGAAACAATTAGAGAGGAAAGGATGCTCACATTGTATGTATGGGATTCAATTAATAGGGAAACAAAGGTTATCCTTATGAAAATGTTCCTCTACTAAGTATATTTCCCAGAGCGCCTTTCATATCCTTATTCCTCAGACTGTAGATAAAAGGATTTAGCATGGGAGTGATCAGAGTGTACAATATGGCCACAATAACATCCTTGTTATTGGAGTAATTAGATGAGGGAAAAAAGTACAGTCCAATAATTGTTCCATAGTACAGAGCCACCACAGAGAGGTGGGACCCACATGTAGACAAGGCTTTGTAGAGTCCCTTGGTGGAGGGGACCCTAAGGATGGTGGCCCCGATGCAACCATAAGAGACCAGTATGCATGCAAATGGCAGGGTAATGACCACCACTCCCACAGTGAGGATAAACAGCTCATTGACTGTGGTATCTGAGGTGGACAGTTTAAGTAAAGTGGCGAGGTCACAGAAGAAGTGAGGGAGAAGGTTGTCCCCACAGAAAGAGAGACGGGCCAGGAGGAGGGTGTGTAAGATGGCACTACCAGAGGATAGGATCCAGGACACAATTACTAACAGGAGACACAGGCTCTGACTCATAACTGTGATGTAGCGGAGGGGGTGACAGATGGCCACGTACCTGTCATAGGCCATTGAGGTGAGAAGAAAGCTGTCAAGACACCCAAGCATTAAGAAGAAATACACCTGAGAAATGCACCCAGCATACGAGATGGATTGACTCTGTGTCTGCATATTCGTGAGCATCTTTGGAGTTGTGACTGATGAAAAAGTGATATCAGTGAAGGCCAAGTGGCTGAGGAAGAAGTACATGGGGGTGTGGAGGCGAGGGTCCAGCCTGATGACCAGGAGGATGAGCAGGTTGCCCAGCACTGTGGTCAGATACATGCCCAGGAACAGGGCAAAGAACACACCCTGCTGCTCTGGCCGGATGGGGAGCCCCAGGAGGAGGAACTCAGACAAGTGGCTCTGATTTTCCCTCCCCATGGTCTCTTTTGCTGGAGTTGAAAAAAAGAGATGAAAATGTGGAAGAATGAGAAATCATTATGACTATCACATAATGAAACATACTTTTGAACAAGTCAGTACATGAATCTTAACCTGAATGGCTCATGCTCTTTGCTCCACTAATGGACTAGGGATGGTCTGGATAAAATTGTCCACCTAGAAACCAGCACTCTTTCTTTTGGGGAAACCATGTAACATCAGAATTATTGTTATATCAAATCAGGTTCAAACCCGAGGAGTTCAGGAGTTTATAACAGAAATCTGAGATTATTAATAGAATATTAGATTGCATGGCTATGTCAGTAACCTGTTATTAGAAATACCAGTAGATACTCTACAAGTTGTCTGTTGGCCTTTCTTAACCTTCTGCATACGTCTCACACACTTTAGCTTATACTCTGTTTCATGGATTGGATCAAGATGAGACAACCCAATGGACTGCTCTGTATCTCCCAGAAATTGGATTTGGAGACTTGGTGAAAACATGTAGCTGGTCAAACAAAGGCACTAAAGATAGGAGTCTTTGTCAATAACATAAAAGATCTAGTGACATACCATGTAATATAATCAATTCTTCTCTTAAAAAAATGCCTTCCCATTCCTCAACATTTTCAATCTGCCATCATTTTTGTAGAGAGATTTTCATGAGACATGGAGGAAAAAAAGCCGTTTCCCTTCTAAATTCCAAACTTATTTCCTCAATTCTGACCAGATCATTTTATTCAAGTTTTCAAAACACCAGTAAATGCTTTGACTTCTTCCAGTCATGTTCTGGATCTGCCAAAAAAAAAGCTCATCTTAAGTATCTGGCCAATATAATTTACCGAATAACTTTTACAGTCCTAACGTAGGTTTTATGCCAGTGATTCATAACTGATATTTCCTTGTTGTATTCTAACACTTTTAACACTTTGCTAACATTATCATTTTTCTTCTTCACGTCAGTTAGATTTGCTCATGTGAATGCTCATGAAATAATAGAGAAAGAGAACATGGTGGTCTGTTGACTAAAAAATAGAATCCACATACTCTATAAGCACATTTACTCTAAAGTTCTCTCTGTCTTTGGGAGCTGAGAAAGTATCTCACAATAGAACTCGTCTTTCATCCTGGGGGTTAACTGAAGTTTACATTATCTACCAGTTCTCCCAATTTGACTCAAGTTATCTCTATCATTTCTATATTCCCCAATTTACTGCATTAAAAAATCCTATTTACTTAATATTATTACCTGAGATGAATTACACATTCAGTGTTGCTAATTATTACTATGCTAGTACTAATCAGTTTATCACAATAAAAGTGCTAACTAACTGTCTATGGGCATTTAGATTGTTTCTAGTATTTTACTATTGCCAATGATACATCATTAGTAACATTGTTCAAATGCCTTTTTCACATTAGCTTATATATCTGTAGGATAAATTCCTAGAAAGGCTATTGGAGGCTGTATAAATTCATGATAGTGATAGATACTGTTAAATTACAACCTGAGGTGATAAGGAAGTCTGTCCTGACAGGTTCTTTAAAATGAGTTCTAGATAATAAAAATCCTGTTGAATAAAGCTTATAAAGACAGGCTTTGTAGTTATGTTGGATAGTACAGGACTGTGGTGTTTGAGGAATAGGTAAAATTCAGGAGCAATGTAAGCACAGGAAACTTACATGGTTGGAGAATTATCAGTCAGCTTATAAGAATTATAAGAATTATAAGTCAGAATTATAAGTCAGCTTATTTAAGACCTTTTCTGCTGTGATTGAAAGCTTTGATTCTATTCTCAGAGCAATAGACACCTATGGAGATATTTAAGTAAAGGACTGAATGAAAAATTCTAAGTTGTATGCTGGCTACTGGATAGAGAACAGATTACATTAATAGCAAGGCAGGAGTGTTAGGAAGAATTTTAACAGGAGGTATTGCAGTAGTTCAGGTACAAAAGAATACCTGCTTATTATACCTGGATCATAACAGCAGAAATGAAGATCATCACAGATTTAGGATAAAATTTAGAGGAAAAGCCAAAAAGACAACAGTGAGGAAGAAAGATAAGTAAGAAGAGATATAGTTTTCCCTATCCTCTCAAAGATTGGCTAGAGGATCAGTTTGAGATAAATTATTCTACATGGAGCTGTCTGTTATATGATGGTGAGAAAAGTGGTAAAACTACAGGAGGGGTCAATACTACACACTGGACACACACACACAAACATATGCATCACAGTACTGAATAAATTCTACTCCTCCTCTTGCCTCTTAGGTGGTGAGCACATATACCTTCAGCTACAAGGCATGGGAATGTTCTTCCATTCCTCTCTAGAAGACAAAAAGTACACTGAAACAGTGGAGGCTCTAAGGATATTGAAGAAGCCTTGCGAAGGGGAGAATTAAGAGTTCAAAACCAAATAAGATAGATGTTCTAACACACATTTTCTTATAACCCCTGAGCAATGGAAATGGCTTTTAAATTTATGAGTAATGGAGAGGACCAGATTGGGGATGGGAGGGGAACCCCCACTGCTAGTTCCAGGCTAGAGACAAATGGGAAATAATTCCTTCGTTGTCTTCGGTTCCCTTGAGGGAAGAACTGTCTGTTGACAGCAGGAAATAGGAGAGTTCACCCTAGAGGAATAATGGATAATACCCACAAAGCAACATTTAGGAACTTGGTGATTCACAAAGCTTTTTGCTTTCTCAGTTGATATTGGGGAAAATGTGTTTCAGAGTCTATAACAAACCAAACTGGAGCTTGAATGAGTTAACCAAAGTCTCTTGTTTCTGGATTCCATGTTATTTTAAGAACACCAGAAACACTTTAATACTCTTGTTCTCTGAACAAAAGATTGAGGGATTTTATGTCTTGTCACCACAACTGTACCCTGGGGAATGGACTACAGTTTGTTTACACATTATGATTAAGTTGATGATTTCTTAAGTTTGAATACAGTCTAACAACCCTGCATTCTTACTCCCTGCAACTACATTTAATTTTTTTGCATCATATTTTACATCCTTTTATTTTGAACATCCCTGAACTACCTATTGTGACTATAGATGATTCTACTGCTTTTTCCTTTACTCTTTCTACCAGCTTTATGACTGGAGATTCTATTATTTTTATTGGAGTAGAATTGCATTACAATGTTGTGTTAGACTCTGCTGTACAATGAAGTGAATCAGCTACATGTATGTGTATCCTCTCCCTCTTGGGCCTCCCTCCCACCCATCTAGGTGTTACAGAACCCTGAGCTGAGCTTCCTGTGCTTAATGACAGGTTGTCACTAGCTGCCCATTTTACATGTATATATTTTTACTTTATGTTTGCCTTTACCAACAAGATTTTTCATTTTATCATTTTCATTTTTCCAGTTACGGTTTTTTCTGCTTAGAGAAGTCCCTTTATCATTTCTTGAAAGTCATTTTAGTCTTTTAGCTTTGGCTTGTCTATAAAATTCTTTGTCTCTCTTTCAAATCTGAACAATAGACTTGTTGAATATAGTAGTCTTGGTTGTAGTTTTCTCTTTCCAAACTTTGAATATGTCATGTTACTTCCTTTTGGACTGCAAAGTTCCTGCTGACAAATCAGCTGCTAGTCTTATATACATAATGAGCTGCTTCTCTCTTACTGCTTTTTTAAACGAGATTTACTTATTTTATTATTTTTGACTGTGCATGGTTCTTGATTGCCGCACGCAGGCTTTCTCTAGTTTCATTGAGGGAGGCTCCTTTCGTTGCAGCACACAGGTCTCTCATTGTGGTGGCTTCTCTTATTGCAGAGCACGGGCTCAGTAGTTGTGGTGCATTGGTTTAGTTGCTCTGAGGCACGTGGGATCTTCCCTGTCACTTGCATTGCAAGGTGGAGTCTTAACAACTGGACCACCAGGGAAGCCCTCTCTTATTGCTCTTTACCTTCTCTCGTTATCTTTGATTCTTGTCACTTTAATTATGTGTCTTTGTATAGAGTCTCTATACTTCCTGGATCTAGATACCTGTTTACTTCCCCTGGTAAAAGAAGTATTCAGAAATTATTTCTTTAAATAAGTTATTGACTCTTTCTCTCTCTCTTTTCCTTCTGGGACCCCTATAATGTGAACGTTAAGTTGTCCCAGAAATCTCTTAACTCATCCACACTTTAAAAAATTCCTTTTATTTTTTTTTCTTTTCACCTTGGTGATTTCCACTTTCTTGTGTTATCTAATCTATTGATCCATTGGTTCCTTCTAGTGTATTTTTATTTCAGTTTTTGTACTCTTAGATCTGTTTTGTATTCTTTTATCTCTTTATATTTTCTAACTCATAAGCATCTCACCATGTTCATCTATTCTTTTCTTAATTTCATTGAGCATCTTTAAGATTCCTGGAAGAAATATCAACAACCTCAGATATGCAGAAGGTACCACCCTAATGGCAGAAAGCAAAGAGGAACTAAAGAATCTCTTGATGAAGGTGAAAGAGGAAAGTGAAAAAGTTGGCTTAAGACTCAACACTCAGAAAACTAAGATCATGGCATCCAGTCCCATCACTTTATGGCCAATAGATGGGGAAAAAGGAAACAGTGACAGACTTTATTTTCTTGGGCTCCAAAATCACTGATGATGATGTCTGCAGCCACAAAACTAAAAGACGCTTGCTCCTTGGAAGAAAAGTATGACAAACCTAGACAGTGTATTAGAAAGCAAAGACATCACTTTGCTGACAAAGGTCCATCTAGTCAAAGCTATGGCACTTCCAGTAGTCATGTATGGATGTGAGAGTTAGGCCATTAAGAAGTCTGAGTGCCTAAAAACTGATGCTTTTGAACTGTGGTGTTAGAGAAGACTCTTGAGAGTCTCTTGGACTGCAAGGAGATCCAACCAGTCAATCCTCAAGTAAATCAACCTTGAATATTCATTGGAAAGACTGATGCTGAAGCTCCAATACTTTGGCCATCTGATGTGAAATGACCCTGATGCCGGGAAAGATTGAGGTCAGGAGGAGAAGGGGGCG